TCTGGGTAAAGTGCAATTCATAAGACGGTTTATTACAAAATTAACCTTGACTTGTGAACCACTATTTGGTCTCTTGAAGAAAGGAAAGAAGTTCCAATGGGATGACCGATGCCAAGTTGCTTTTGGGCAGATCAAGCAGTATCTACAGAACCCACCCGTATTGTCGCCGCCAGAGCCGGAGAAACCGTTGATTTTGTATCTGTCAGTAACTGACACGACAATGGGCTGCAAGCTTGCGCAGGAATCTAAGGATAAGGTGGAGAAGGCCATCTATTACCTGAGCAAGAAAATGCTGGAATATGAGACCCGTTACACTCTACTAGAGAAAGCTTGTTTAGCCTTGGTATGGGCTACCAGGAAGTTGAGGCACTACCTGCTAGCTCACTCTGTAATACTGGTTTCGAGATTAGATCCTATCAAATATCTCTTCGAGAAACCAGCACTTACGGGTAGGCTAGCCCGTTGGTTGCTTCTTCTCTCTGAATTTGATTTGAAGTACATGACGCGCAAGTTTGTGAAAGGGAGAGCGGTAGCGATGTTCCTAGCCGATCACCCAGTGGAGGGAGGCAATGCAGTAGAATATTTGTTCCCGTATTAGGCCATTCTGCAGGTCGAAGAAGAGATCTGGACCATGTACATTGACGAAGTGTCTAACCAGTACAGGTATAGGATAGGGGTGTTGCTGATAGCACCCGACAATTCCTACATACCTTTAGCTTTCAAACTCCGGTTCAAGGTATCGAACAATGAAGCAGAATATAAGGCATGTATCGCTGGCTTGGAAGTCGCTCTGGAACTAGGGGCAAAATGGTTGGACGTCATTGGGGACTCGAACCTGGTTATGTCTCAAGCGAAAGGAGACTGGAAGGTTAACGAAGAAAGGATGAAAATCTACAATCAAACCCTGGACATTCTAATTCCCAGGTTTGAGAAGTTAACCTTCACTCATCTGTTAAGAGAGAGCAACAGGTTTGCAGACACTTTATCAACTCTATCTTCTATGATAGACATCCCTTTGGGAGTCCGGATGTGTCTAATCATCATTGAATAGAGGTATGTGCCGGCCTACGAGTTGATTACCGCCATAGATGAAGTACAAGATCAAAACCCTTGGTATTATGATATCTGGAACTTCTTGGAAAATGAGACTTATCCACTAAGGGCAAATGCCAAAGATAAGAGGGCAATACGACGAATGACTGCTCAGTTTATCGTCTGCGGGGGTAAATTGTACAAGCGGGGCCATCTTGGGATGCATAAACTGTGTGTTGATGCTGAGGAGTCAAAGCGCCTAATGGAGGCCATCCATGGAGGAGAGTGCGGAGCGCACATAAGCGGAGTAATGCTAGCTTGGAAGATTCTTAGACAGGGTTACTACTGGTCAACCGTGGAGGAGGATTGTATTTGTTTTGTTCGGCGATGCCACAAATGCCAGATTCATGCAAATCACATGAACATCCCGCCATCGAAGCTGTACAACATGACTTTGCCATGGCCATTTTCAGTCTGGGAGATTGATTTTATTGGGGCAGTTACTTCGAAGAGGTCGAACAGGCATGAGTACATCTTGGTGGCGATAGACTACTTTACAAAGTAGGTCGAGGCCTAATCCTACGCAGCGCTGAAAGCATCACACGTAGCTAAGTTCATCAGGAACAACATCATCTGTCGCTATGGGGTCCCAAATGAGATCATTGCGGACAATGGTTCCCACTTCAAGAAGGAAGTGATCAACTTGTTGGAGAAATACAACGTGGCTTTTCATAAGTCAACCACATATCGGCCGCAAACCAACGGAGCTGTTGAGGCCGCCTAGAAGTACATCAAGCATATTTTGTAGAAGATGGTGAAAACCTACAAAGACTGGCCAGATAAGCTGTCATTTGCTCTTTGGGGCTACAGAACGTCAATTCAGACTTCTACTAGGGCAACTCCGTATTCCTTGGTTTATGGGATGGAGGCTGTTTTGCCGATCAAAGTTGAGGTTCCGTCATTGCGGGTTATGACTGAGTGCCAGATAGTAGAAGCAGATTGGCAGCAAAGCAGGTTTGAGGAACTCATGCCGTTCGACGAGAGAATGCTGAAAGCACTGTATCACATCCACGGCTATCAACACATAATTGCCAGGGCTTTCAATAAGAAAGTTAAGTCCAGGAATCTGAAAGAAGGGGATTTGGTGCTCAAAGACAACCGAGCTTCCATCCACGACCCTAGGGGCAAGTTCAGCCCTAATTGGATTGGTCCTTACATCATCAAGTCTATTTGGTCAGGTGGAGCTGTCGTTTTTATGGACCTAGATGGCCTTGAATCCTCCCAGCCAGTCAACATGGACAAGTTCAAGAAATACTACCCCTGAGCGGCTCGTTAGGTTGAAAACCCGAAAGGGCGACCTAGGCAAAAGTTAGAGCATAGAAAATTTGAAATAAGAAAAACTGAGTTCGCAAGGTTAAAAACCCAAAAAGGGCGGCCTTGGCAAAAGTTAGAGCGCAAAAGGAGAGTGTTAAAACCCGAGTGAACCCTAACCGAACTACGTAAGGCTTGATTCCCATCTTTGGGATATGTAGGCAACTTCATTCTGAAGTCCAACGATAAACACTTCCAAGTCAATTGTGTCCATGTGATTGTTCTGGTCATCTTTGTCTTTTCTGCATCCAAAAGTTTGGTTGTCATCTCCACTACAGTGCAGTGTTATTCAGACAAGGGGAAACTTTCCAGTCATTGGATTTGGGGTTGTACATCTCAAGGATAGATTCTGGGTGTGTCCAGTTGTGATCCTTATTGAAAATGGTTTTGAAAAGTTTTAATAAAAGTTGATTTTTTGCAAATTAATCTTTTTACAACTTAGACCATTTTTGGACCAAAAGAAGAATTCTTAGTACCCACAACCTTCAATTTCATTGATTTCAATACAGAGTTCTCCAACTCTTGATACAAATTGAAGTTGCTTTTTATTACATTCAAAAGGAAAACTTGAAAGTACAGATTAAAGCAATAAACTTGGGGCATAGTTGAGTCAGGTGTTCCTGCGCCCCCTCCCAGAGCTTGTAGAAGCTTCAGATGCTAAAGTAGGCCCGATTTGTCCCTCATCTTCAAGCCAAGCTATGCATTCACTAGAAAGGACACAATTGAAAGTGGGAGCAGGGGCCAAAAGTTTTCTTGTTCTCCATGCAGCGGTATACTGAGCTAGCTGTGTGCCTTGGATTGGAAATGAAGCTGGATACTCTTATCCCCTATTCTGGGAAAATTTCGTCATGTTCGAACTGGCGCCTGAATCAAAATGGAAAGTAGAAGACACAGTGTGTCAAGCCAACCAACTGAATGCCAGGCTGCCGGGACATGCTGTAGCTCATCTCAGGCAGGTCAAACCAGGGGCAGCGCCAAGCAATATCAATAGCGGATCTGTTGCACATCCAGTGGCACCACCATCCCTCATTTGAGAAATCGACTAGCCGTGGACGAAAGAAATAGCCGCGCGCTGAATACACAGGGCAAGCGTCTACTACCTTCAACTTATCCATTAGCCATACTTGGGGAGGGATGAAAAATAAGAGAGATTAAAGAATAGAGAGGTGTACGTGGAGAGAAAAAGTGAGAAAAGGATTTTGAGAGAAAAATAGAGCCTGAGGGCCGAGTGGTGTAAGAAACACATGTGAGAAGGGTGGGAAACATTACCTGCAACAATAGTGGACTCCCTGCAAACTTAGTTGTTTCTCGGCGGTGGGAAGCATCCAAGCCCATCAAAGTTTCGGCTAGTGTCAACCCGATGCAGCTCTTGCCCTCTTTCAAGCCTTGGGCAACTTCAATCAAGCGAATGCTGGACCCTCCAAAGCCAGGGGCAAGCAGAAAATGGGCCAACATACACAAGCAGAGGGCATGTTGTCGAAAACTTTGCCAAAAGTGGTCACCGCGGTTGCCGGCATCAGAAAACTGATAAATGAGATTGGGGATGTCCAACTCCCTGTTGTAAACCAAAGATCAGGCATCCTATAAAGTAAGCCCGCACATCCTTCCCAAAGCTTGGATGTAGCCAAAACGAGACTGGGGCAAGATTTCCTCGTCACGCTGGGACTCCATCAAAGCCTGGAATTCTTCAATTGTGGAGCATATCTCTTGTCCGCCGAAGCTAAAAACATGTGTGACCGGGTTCCAACATCTAGCCACGGTATGGAGGAATGGAAAACACAGCGGAGTACGGCTTAGCAGGAATAGTGCATTTATCCCGAAACCCCGAAAATTTAACTTTTCTGAGCCATCCAAGTCGACAGTTTTTCGACAAAGAATGGCTCCATTTGAAGCAAAAACAGAGCCAGAATAAAGAAACCACGAAGTTGGAACTTTTGTAGAAAATAAGGCACTGAGTGGAGGACAGGTGGTAGCAATCTGGAGATTCTCAGAATTACTGGCCGGCCGGCCAGTTCAAGTGGTTGACCGGCCACATTTACTGGCCGACTGACCACTTTAGTGGCCGACAATGATCATAAGTGGCCGACAGCCAGCCCTGGTCTCCAGCAGAGAGTTCCTATGTAATGAGAATGCTGAGAACCTGAGTTTGGTTCTACTTCGGATGCGTCCTGCTGTTTTGTTTAACAGTTGTATTTGTTTTGTTTATCAAGTTTGTTGTAATTTGTTTATCAAGTTGTTGCAATTTGCTTATTGAGTTGCATTTGTTTCGTTTATCGAGTTGTTGTTGTTTTGCTTATTGAGTTGTTCTTTAAGTTGTCTTATTTTGTTTGTTATGTCGGTTCACTACCTAACTGTGCAGTACAATGTTTAAATTTCATCAATCTCATTTTTGTGTAAAATGGCGTGATACGATGCTCAGAATATAAAATACAACACATTTTTAATCAAAAAGTTGCTTTCATTCCAATCATGAATTTTTTTTTAGAAAACATACAAGTTTTAAAGAAAATAAAATTGCCTAAGACTGTACAATGTGGTAACACTACTAGCAAAAAAGAGAAACAAAAGCAAAAATAACTGAGTTGATGCCACCCATCTCAGGATCGGGAGGCTCTCTTCGTCCTCTTTCTCAGCTGTGCGGACTTAGAGCTATCACCGTTGGCGCTGCTGTTTGAATCTGAGCTGGAGCCGGAGCCGGAATCAGAGCTGCCTCCACTCCCATCCTTGGAGCCCTCCTCAGCGTCGTCGCCACCCTCAAAACCAGAGCCAATGTCGTCACCTCCACCCTTAGATGACTCTGACTGGGGACTCGCTGGCTCCTCGTCCTCACTAGTCTTGTCATCGTCATTGCGCACGACAGGCTCCCGACCTCTCCCTCGGCTACGTGCCAGAATCTCTCTCCCTACTACTAGAGAAGGCTCTGATGGTCCCGTCTGTAAGGGTGTGACCTGAAAAAGGCAGTTTGAATACATCAGCTACAGTATATGTATCAGATGCAAGTATGTTGTGCAGAGTGAGTACATGCAGAAATCAGATATAGTATGTGAATGTAATGTGTTAGATGCGATCTATACATGCAGTGCATCAGTGCAATGTGAGAAATGTTCAGTTGAGATGTTAGTTTCAGTGTATTAGCAGAAATATGATAATCGAAATGCAAGAAAACTAAAAAATTACCTGAATGCCGTGGGAATTCAGCATCATCTCTCTCCTCAAGATCATGCCTTCAAATGAGGCCATCACCTCGAGTAACCCCTCGACATACTCTATGGAGGGCTGCAAATGTAAGTTGAAATCATAAGTGCATGAATGAATAAGTATCTGAGTGAAAATGAAATGAATGAAAGCTGTAAAGTATACCGGTGGTGAGTCGGGTGTCCTGACGTATCGGTGATCAGGCAACCGGGGCTCAAGTGGAATCGGATATGGCACTCCGAAGTACTGCCAACCTATCAGCTCAGTTGAAAAATCTGGCCATCCAACACTCTGCCTGATGGGAGGCATCCCTCTATCCTCACCCTTTGGTGCCCGAGCCCTGCTCGTCGAAGGGGCATTTGCTGCCTAAGCCCTGCTCGTCGAGGGGGCATTTGCTGCCTGAGCCCTGCTCGTCGAAGGGGCATCTACTGCATGAGTCCTGCTCGCCGAAGGAGCATCTGCTGCCCGGGCCCTGCTTGACGAAGCAATATCAATTGCCCTCTCCGTATGACCATGAACATCTACCAGAGGAGGCATCAGGTATGTCTAGAGGTAAGCCGTGTAGTCCCCCTCCCCGATGAACCGGTCTGCATCTGCACCTTGCATGACATCAGTAATCTCCTGAGGGGAGAAACTATCGATGGCTCGTATAGAAGGCGGGGGCGGTAAGGGGACTGACTGTAGTGGCAGGCCCAGTGTTTGTCGCATGAAGTGCTTGCCTAGGAACCAGGCTCGGGCTACCGGCCCCTCGAGCAGGATCCGATACCGGGAAGCACCCCAAGCGCCGGCAAAATGAAAGCGGGCAAACCCTGGCATCAACGCCCAAGGCTGCCATGCGACCTGCTGGCAGCAAAGTGTGTAGATTGATCAGTTGCCATTAGATATACAAAATGAATTGAAGCTGAAAGCAGAAAAATTGTGAGTTTTGAATTATCTCTACTGTCTTCACTGTGTCGAAGTACTAGCGCAGGTATGGGAAGGTCTCCCAGGCTCTCGGTTGACACCAACCGTCATATCTATGTGAGTATGGTACCTCGAAAAGTGTCTCAACCTCTGGCTCAGGGGCAAACGTTGGGAAATAAGCATACACCCACAGTTGTGGAAAGCAAATGGGCGATAATGAGAATAAAGAATACACAGATAATGCAGAAAGCAGAGTATATGTGCAGAAAATGCAGAAAATGCAAAGAATACAGAATACAGAAAATACAAAAACAAAGTGTGGCACAGTGTATAGAGAGTACAAGTGCAGAGTAGAGATTGGACTATATGTGTGTAGTGTGCGGTGTGTGCAGTGTACAAAAAATGCAAAGCAAAAAGCACGGCAGAAAGTGCAAAGCAGAAAGCATGGCGAAAACTGTAAAGTTGAAAAGTAAAGCATACCTCCCAGGCTCTCCAATAGCCGCCCACCCTATTCCCGCTCCTGCGGGAGGTCGAGTTCATGTAACAGTAAAGAGTGGCAAGGCCGGCGCCGCCCCAGCCATAGTGACAGACCTAGGATAGATCCACTAAAGTGCTCAGAAGATACAACCCAACTGTGTTCGCCCTGTCGATGAACAATGTAGTGCCGAAGAGGAACATCAAGAAACCTCGGGCGTACTGCTCTGCATCCTCAATCGTCGCGGACTCAGTCCCTCTGAAGTGGTCTGAGAACTAGGTATATCTGACTGTGCCCGATCAGAAGATAGGCAGGTGTGCTCCCAGTAGATAGGTCCAAACAACCTCCCACTCACCCGTGTCGGAGTCGTATGGGATCGGTCGACCTCCCACCTCTAGGCCTGTCAGCATCACGGAGTCATACGGGGTCATCGTCATGTCCCTGGTGGCAGAGAAATGGAAGGAGTTGGTGGTGTCCCACCATCTCTCTACCAATGTGCCTAAAAGGGTCCCACTCGCCATGAGACGTGAGAGCCCTATACAGAATAGGCCAAATCCCGCCTCGTCAATAATCTACCGGACGCTGTCGGGGAGGTCCTTATACCACTCCCTCGCTGTGGTTGATCCATATCCGTGGGTGAAGCGAGAGTCTACCTGTGTAGGTGAGCAGAAATGCAGTGTGTGAGATGTGTTCAGAATGAGCAAAAATGCAGTGTGTGAGATGTGTTCAGAATGAGCAGAAATGCAGTGTGTGAGATGTGTTCAGAATGAGCAGAAACACAGTGTGCGAATGTGTTCAGAATGAGCAGGTGAAATACAGTACGAAAGTGCAAGCTATACAAGAAATGTAAAGTGCATCGCAAAAAATGTAAGAGTGCAGTGTATACCTCCGGCGCGTCGTGAGACAAGTGAGACTCTGGCTCTCGTAGTAAAAGATCTACAGGTGCGCACCGTACAAATCCGATAAAGTGACAAACTGTACTAGGCGGTAGAACATGTGCCTCGGGATGGTACGTCACTGGGTCAAATGGCCAGCCTCTGGGCGGCAACGGTATGACGTCAGGCTCCCCCTCCATCCTCGGAGAACCCCCATCATGTGGAGTGTCGTCTGCCATCTGAAAGGAAAGTGAAAAAAGGTAAACATGAGCAAAATGGGCGAAAAGCGCCAAAAGTCAACAGAAGTCAACTGTCGGGACGAGAAAAAGTCAAAAAAGTCAAAATCTGGGAAAAGGCGCCAAACTCAAGGTAAACTTGTAGAAAACAAATCTTAAATGGTGAAAATAGAGAAAAAGCTCCGAAAACAAGTTTTGATCAGTTCAATGTAAAGGAAACCGAAAGGTTTTCGCGAATCAACTTCGCGAGGGGCGTTGAAAAATGCGTGTGGGGCACGGATCTAAGGAGGAAAAATGTCTAGGAGCAGAGATGAAGGAATTTCGGCACTGTGTGCGTGAGGAAAAGTGTTTTGGAGTTGTGTTTTTAAAGATCCATATGCAAAAAGACAAAACTGTCCCGAATTTGCCTCAACTGACCGAACGACTAGTTTTTGTGGCCGACCGGCCACTTAGGTGGCCGACAGATTCTTCAACTGGCCGACATTCTTCCAGGGTGGCCGACAGGTGTCCAGGGTTCTCCCAATATGTTTTCAAGTTGTTTTGAGTCCTTGGCTCTCGAGAAAGTGCCAAGAAAGTTCACTTTTCAACTTAAAATGTCTTCGCGGGAGTTTCAATTCATGTCTTTGACGCGAGACACGTCGTCATCCGGCATGAACAAGGTGTATCCTTTTGAAACACATCGTAGTCCATCCGAGAGGTAAATCGGAGGTTGCAACTGAGTTGGCCTTGTTAAGGCGCGTATTTCTTTATGTGACATTTTGCATCGAACATGCTATGGATGTGCAATGAATAATATATTGTTATCATTGTGCACAGACCATGTATGTTGCATTTCATTGCACTATACATGTTCGTATGTTTGCATAGAATATGCATGTCACGTTATATTGCAGTGTGCATGCTCTTACATTCTACCTGTTGCATTGAACATGCATTCGGTGTTGCATAAAACATGCTCCATGTTTCGTTACATAGGACATGCTCTATTTCTTGCATGATGTGCATGGAGCATGCCTCTCTAAGCATTGTGTTATAGTCATTCGCCTTGCATAGAATATGCATTTGTATTGTACTTGTCAAAGTTTCTTCCTTATGCAGGTACGATATTGTATGTATGGTTCATTCAAAGCTGATGCAACCAGACGATATTGTATGTATGGTTCATTCGAAGGAACTCTAGGTAAGATCATTCATGTCCTTTGAACTCCTTGTTTTGGTTAGAAACATTCGGGTATGCCCGGTGTTTACACCACTCCTTGTTTTGGTTAGAAACATTCAGGTACGCCCTGTGTTTACACCACTCCTTGTTTTGGTTAGAAACATTCAGGTACGCCCAGTGTTTACACCACTCCTTGTTTTGGTTAAAAACATTCGGGTACGCCCGGTGTTTACACCAACACCTCCTCTGGTTAGAAGCGTTTGGGTCATGTGCCCGACGTTTATACCTTGCGTTGGTTAGAAACATTCGGGTACGCCCGGTGTTTACCCCAACACCCCTTTGGTTAGAAACGTTTGGGACATATGTCCGACACTTATACCACCCTGTTGGTTAGAGACATTGGGTTGTGCGCCCGATGTTTATACCACCCCTTTGGTTAGAGGCATTTGGGACGTGTGTCCGACGCTTATACCTCCCTGTTGGTTAGAAGTGTTTGGACTGTGTTTCGACGCTTATACTGCCTCTTTGGTTAAAAACATTGGAACGTATTCTGATGTTTATACCGCCCTTCGGTGTTTACACCGCTCTCTTTTCCCTCTCACATGTGGCGCGTTAGGACGCTTTGGTTAAATGCATCTGGACGGATCACGTTGCTTATACCGCTCTTTGTTTCGATTGCATAATATTTGGATATGTTTCAGTTGCTATTGTGCGCTCTTTAGTTCGGAACCTTGGGGTGTGTCCCTGGGTTAACACCATTTCTTTCCTCGCGTGCGCCACGCTTTGGGATCTTGTTTGCCGCATCGGAAGCGTCCAATGGTTGTTGTTGTTCTTTACCTTTTCTGCGTGAGGCGCAGTTAAGATTGCATAATTTTCTTACATCATTTCTGCACGAAATGTAGTTCGGTCTGTAATTCTCACGCGTGGCGTGTTTGCTTACTTGCTTATGTATGAGTTTGCTGTAGTATTTTTTTGCATAGTATTTGCATCTAGATGTTTCATTACAGCCCTCATTGCATGATCATAAGTTATGTTCTGCATCGTGCATATCATTTGCATTTTGCCCCAGCCTGCGGGTGCATCCATATCGGTATCTTGCTTGTTTGTCTGAGTCTTCAGCCTTGTGAAAAATGGGTCGTCTTTAGGCTTTGACATTCACTCCCGTCATTTCATGAATTCCAAATTCTGTCAAAGAGGGGCAACTATAGACACCCCATTTTTTACTGGCCTCAAGACTTAGATGTCATCGTTTGTGCACTCGATGATTGTGCATGTTTGTGCTCGTTTTGAGTGCACGAAGCTCTCGGCGGAACGCCTTATCTTTGAGCCTCTAAACTCTTTGTGTTTTGGCCTTGTTTTTGGGCCAGACCTTGGTGCCCCTTGCCTGGAGGGAGGAAAGGCCTTGTCGGCCACCTAGAGTGGCCGACGGCCATTTTTCTCATTTTTCAGATATTTTGTGTACTAGCTGTTGATCACTGAAGTCATCCTCCATACACGTGTATAGAGGGATGGAAACAAGCCTTAGGCTTGTATTTCTATATAAGGGGAGGTCTCTCCCCCATTTTGAGGGTTACAAAATTTGTGAGCAAATTTTCCTCTCTCTCTCTCTCTAAAATCCTCTCTCTCCTCTTCCTATTTTGTGCTTGAAAATGGGAAATCTCTACATATTTGCATACAACCCGTTAACCAAATTAGACCACCTTGTAGCTGAGGTTCTTGGATGTCTTATTTGAGCTCTCAAAGCTAGTTTTGGCTCAGAAAGTGGCTGTTTGTTGTTGTGCTTCAAAGGTTTAAAGCTTACCTTTTTCAAGCTTATTTTTGTACACTAGTTTGGCCACCTTTTCATGTTGTTTTTGGCCTAGTTTTCAACTACAAAAACGTTTGTTTTT